GCGAACTCGTGACTAAAATGGAATTCGAACTCAAGTGTAACAAATGCTCTCCCACGTGGGATGCCGTCTCCCTTCTCCACCTCTGGTCAAAGCTGCCTCACCCTGCGCTTGCCTCGTCTCCCCTAAAAGTTAGGAAAAGCCAGACAGACAGGAAATGAAGCAGATGCTGCGAGTGGCATTCACTTCTCAGACAGACTTGGGGGGAGAGAGTGGCCCCCAAGTGCAGGAGCTTTGTGGGGGGGGGGGGGAATGGGTCTTGTTCAGCCCTGAAGGGGGCAATCCTACACCTGCCTATCCAGATGGAAAGAGAAAAATGCAGACCTCCTCATTCCTCCCTGATTGTGTCATCCGCAGCAACGCTGCCCAAATAAACAGAACCCAAGCTACACACTGTAATTATGACTTGCTCGTAACCACATTTGTTAAGGTAAAAAGAGGTGAAATTAATTTTAATAATATATTTTATTTAGCCCAATCTATCCAAAACAGTATTATTTCAATAAGTAATCAACATAAAAAAATTACTGAGATATTTTGTACATTCTTTTTCTCATAAGCCTTCGAAATCCAGGGCGCATTTTACTCCACACCTCAGTTCGGACTGGTGGAGGTAGGTGTGGCTAGCGGCTACTGTATTGGACGGGGCAGGTCTATAGGGTACCAAACATCCAAGTGAATACAACCTCACTCTATGTGATGTACATGATGTGAGGGTTTTTTAATTACCATACAGGAAAAATTTTTTTGATGTACACTTCTATGAATTTTAACACACGTGTAGATTCATGTAACCACCACCATAATCAGGATACAGAGCAGTTCCATGAGCCCCCAAGAGCAATTTGGGGCTATCTTGTTATTGTCAAACCCCCCACCCTCCCCTAATCCCCAGACAAATGGAATCATACAGGATGTTACCTTTGAGACTGGCTTCTTTCACTCAGCATAATGCCTCTACAATTCGTCCAAGTTTGTTGTGTCATCAATACTTCATTCCTTTTTATTACTGGGTTTTCTGACGTTGTAGGGATGTACCACAGTTTGTATATCCACTCAACTGCTGAAGGACATCGGAGCTGTTTCCAGCTTGGAATGATTATGAATAGAGCTGCTACAAAGATGTGTACGGGTTTCGCGTGAACATAAGTTTTCACTTCATTTCTCAGGAGCAGGATTGTTGGGCCATGTGGTATGTGGAGGTTTAACTTTATAAAAAATGATCAAATTGTCTTCCAGAGTACTTGAGCCATTTTCCATTCCCACCAGCAATGTGGGAGAGGTCCAGTTGTTCTGCATCCTTGTCAGCCCTTGGTATTGTCAGTATTTTGATTTTAGCCATTCTGATCGTATGTGGTTGTATCTCATCATGACTTTAATTTGCTTTTCCCTAATGACTAATGATGCGGAGCATCTTTCAGTGCACTTCTTTGCCCTCTGTATGTCCTCTTTGGTGATACATCTGTTTAAGTCTTTTGCTCATTTTTAAATTAGGTTGTGTGTTTTTCAGGTTTTATATACTCTAGATACAAGTCCTTTGTTGGATGTGCGATTTGCAAAATATTTCTCCCAGTCTCTAGGTTGTCTTTTTATTCTCTTAACATTATCTTTCATGGGGCAGAAGTTTCTAATTTGGAGGATGTCCAGTGTATCAATTTTTTCTTTTAGGGATTATGGTTTTATTATCATTAGTAAGCACTCTTTTGCCTAACCCAGGTCATGGAGATTTTCTCATATTAACTTTTTGAACAATAAATCACATGTTTGATACCCAAGGGGTTGTAACTGTCTAAGATACTCAGCTGTGGGTTTTCATCGTGAAAATCCACATTGTCATGTGGGTTCATTTATTCACTCCACAGATATTTAATAAGTGGAAAGTCATCACTAGTAAAACAAAGATGATTAAAATTTGGTCCACAATAGTTGCTGCCTTTAGTTGAGGGTCTAGGGCCAGTGGCCATATAAATATCATCTATACCCTCTAAACTGACATTAACATCCCCATTTTACAAGAGAGGAAACTGAAGCTTAGAGAAGTTAAGTAATTTTCCACTCACAGAGGCAGAAAGTAGTAGAGTTAGGGTCAGATAACTCCAAAGCCCTTAGGTACGAGAGGGTTCTTTGGTTTCTAGCAACAGAAAACAGCTCTCCCTACCTAAGGGGTAAAAAAAATAGAGAAGTGGTCCACAGCTATTTCACAGAACCAACCCAAAGGCTGAACACCCAAATCTTAGAAGGGAAAGAAAACAAGAAAGTTCAAGGATCCAGGTAGCAGGGGAAAAAATATATGTTGATTTCCAGACATCCTCTTTGAATGAAGCATCCTCAGCTATTTCAGCCCTTGTCTGTGTCCTCTCTAGATTCAGGTTCCCTGGAGCGATCATCTGACGGACCTGCCGTGGGTCATGTGACCATCTTTAGAGAAAGGAATGGTGGAACACTTTGACTGACAGTCCCATCAAGACTATGTCCAAGTAGAGGCATAATCTTTCCTTGTTGTAAGGACTATTGAGGTGCTCTTAACAGAAGGAAAGGGAAGAATGGATCCTGGAGAGGCATAAACCACAGAGGCCCACCATGGCAGTGACTTCAAAAATTTTTGATCACAATCCACATTAAGAAATATATTTCACCAACATGCAAGAATATTCACACATGACTGAAATGCAGTTTTTATATAACAGTATGGAGCCTTCCAATGCGTAGTATACTCTGATACATCATATTCGTTTCCTTTCATTTTTCAAAAATGGCTTTTGTAACTCCTTATGGATTGCAATCTGTGGATTGGAAAGCGCTGTACTTTTAACATGATTTCCTTCCCCTCCCTATCCGTGAAGGCTCCAGAAGGAAAGACTGAAAAACAGTGAAGACATAAAGTGGTGAGCTCCATAATGGATCCCCAGAGAACGTTGACCGATCCATCTCACAAGACAGATGTGTAGACTGAGACGTTAAACTCCTGTGAGTTAAAAAAGGATGATGAAAAACAAATGTTTGCCCTCAGAAGCAGACCCTGAGACAAGGATTGGGATCCAAGTAGCCTATTTGTGAGGTGATCCCAGGAAAGACAGGGAGGGAGTGGGGAAGTGAGAGAGGGAAGGGAAGAAAGCCAGCCAAAGGTTCATGACAAGAGTGTTGTCATCGTGGGCATCCGTGGCTCAGTCACATAAGAGACCCTCTAGGAACAGTGCAGAACATGCCTCAGGTCTGTCTCATCAAAGGGCAGGGAAGCTCGGGTGTTCATCCACCAAGTGCCATCCCTCCATGTGAAGCTGGACCAAAACCATCAATTTCCCAACACTTCCAGCATGCCACCAAGTGAGGGCCAAGCTCCCACCACCGGAGAACACCCTCAGGCAGAAGATGCAGGAAGCTTTGGGGTACGCAAGAATTGTCTGCGGATGACCTCCAGATTGGTCAAGAGTGTACAGTTTGAAGATCTCCTTCAAGACGTAACTGGGAGGGAGAAGGAGTAGCCCAGGAAGCCACTTGCAGTCAGAAATACCTGCCTCCCCTCCCAGGGCTCACCTCACGGTCAGGCACAGTCTCGTTGCCCATAGCACCTTGGAATGGCCCAATCCCCAGATTCGTAGATTCACCAAGTTCATCCCAGCCTGGGTGCCTGGCTTCCTGCCTCGGCATTGCTGAAGGAAGACAGGAAATCCACCCAACCAGCTCACCTGTCCTACCTGGCCCCTCTGATTCTCAGCCAATGTCCCAGAGAATGTCTGGTTTTCAGCCAGTGATCTCTGCCACAACGTCTCAGGACATCGAATCTACCCTCTCCCACCTCTTATACCAGAAGAAAAGATGGCCCCACTCCTGTTACGGTGCCGATGAAAACAAATTTCCAGGACACAGGGGAAGGATCCAGTGCACAAACCTTAATTAATCACCTGCTATTTGTCAGACTAAAACACACAAGACAGATTGACTTTGGGAGTCGGGTCCAGTGCGATGAGAATAGAAGCAGCATTGAGCCTAGAGGAGCCAACTCTTCATCAGCGATGCCTGAGGGCAGGGGGTCTCAACCCAGCTGCACACGGTCATCTCAGGAGCTTTCAAAGAGTACCAACTCCCCGTGGGGGATGGGGTGGATCCCAGGCATTAGCATTATTTTTTAAGTTCCCCAGATTCTAATGGACAGGAAGTATAAGATGGAACAGAAAGGAAGAAATAACATTTCTTGTGGTGGTTTTTTTTTTTTTTGGAGGTAACCTTTGTATCTCATCTAATTCCCCCACTATATGTTACATATTACTGTACCCATCTCAAAAGTGAGAAACTGAGGCTCAGGGAAGTCAAGCAACTCACCCAAGTTCCCAGTGCTATGAGTAAAAGGACCAAGATCATCATCCACAGGCCATGACTCTTTCTACTCCACCGTGCTATCCCCCGGGTAAAATTTTAATAAAATTGATGGTGAAAGGAAGAGGGCCGAAAAAAATTTAAAAACAATAGTCACTGGATAAATGAACAGTGGCCTAGGTAAGTCATGGTGGGAAGGGCTCTGGGGGCAGCAGGAAGCCCTGGATATCTGAGGCTAGATATCAGAGCACTAAGAAAAATGAGGCAAAGCCACCAAAGAGGCTTCGAGGACCAGCTAACCCTGCCCGTCCCAATGTTCCCTGAGGCTGGCCCTGCTCTCAAGAAGGCCTTGCATCCAAAGTCAGCCCAAGGGGCCATTTTCCCAGTTCCCTGAGCTGTGACTTGGAACTTCACAGCCCGCCACCTCGTGTTTGAGACCCTCTCAGAGTGGTTAGTCTTCTCCATCTTCTCCCAGGCCTCCGGGCTGACTATATTCAGCTGTGAGAATAAACCAACATCACAGCCACCAGCCTTTCCTCATCTCTGCAACTGATTTCTCAACTCTCTGTGACGGCTTGGCTCTCCAAGTGCAGTGGCCCATCTGGTAGAAGGGATATCGTGCTGTTTATAGCCTCCGCTGGGACTGCTCAAAGACAGGAGAAAACCTCTCCATTCCCTACTCCTCTGTGTTTGAGCCACAAAACTGAATTTTATTTAAGCATCACATTTGGGGAAGGAAAAGGAACTTCAGTCTTTGCTTTCTTGATGGTATTTCTCAGCAAGAAGATGCCCAGTGAATGAAGGCAATCTCAAAAGGAAACCTTCAAAAGCAAAATCTCCCAAACACACTGTGGTTCCAAAGTCCAAGAGCATCCGTCAGTGAATACCAGAAATCTGTGGAGCTGGAAGGGCCCTGGAGATCAGCTTTTAGAAGGAGAAGCTGAAAGCCCACTGGGGGAGTGACTTGCCCTACATCATGGCCGGCGGTGACAGCAGATGCAGGACTGGAACTCAGCACTTTGACCTCCTCATCTGCAGATGGTGTTTTACTGGGCAGGAACTGCAAGCTGAGGAAAGACAGAAAAGCAGCAGGCTGAAGGTGGCCCCCCGGGGGCCCACCATGATCTGTGTTGAGAAATGTATTTCATCAACATACACACACAACTGAAACGTGTGTCCAGAAAGCAGTGTTGGTGCCAAGGAAAAGAGCGGATGTAAAACCTGCAGGCTTGGCCCCAACTGTGAAGAAAACAAAGTGATCTTCACTATTTACCAACCCCTCCCTCCCAAGTTGTCTAATCTAAGGGCCGCCATACTGCACAATGCAGAGCTTACACTGTACTGTTAATCTGTATCTTAGAAGGCAGAAGAGTGAGAGCTCAAATATTAGCTATTATTTTTCTTGCTCTGCATTAACAGCAGGAACCGAGGCATTAATTGATAAGCACAGGACTCATTAAAAACAAATAGTAACTTAAGAACAACCCCAGGGGACGTGGCTTTCAAGATGCAAAAGAATGAATCTGTAAAAGCAAGTTAATCACGGAGATGCCTAAAACAGGACATTCAGAAGGCGCTGACTTAAGCGCGCACAAATGTTAGTTGTGCGGTAGGCATTGTTCTCAGTGCTTCATGTTTGTAAATTGTCGCAACAACCGATTGTCACAACAATCGATACTATTGTTATCACCCATTTTACAGATGAGGAAACTGAGATATAGAGCACTCAATTTGCAAGTCACATAGCCAGGAAGTGGCAAGATGTTATTCAAAGGCAGCAATCTGGCTCCCAACACTGCGTGCTTGACTGTGTACAACATTGCCCCTTTGTAGGAGCCAGTCAATCAGTGTTATTGCTCCTGAGAGCCGGGGGCCGTTGAACGCTGCTCCATTTCCTTCAAGCCACTGCAGGTGACCTGCATGAAGGTTGCAGTGGGGTGACAGTGAGGAAGTGATCTTCCCTGACGTCGCAGGGAGGGACACCATGACAGCTCTGCTCCAGGAAAGCCAGGAAGGATTGCTGATGTCATCAGAGAAGCACAGATGTGGGCAAGCGTCCCAGTACCCCCAAACATCACCATGGGAGCTCAGAGGGAGGCTCTGGGCCTCTAGGAATCCTCCTTTACCTTCAAGCCAAACCCTCTTTCAGGGATGTGGAGTGAAAAGAAGGGAGAAAAATGCTTTAAGCCCTTCCCCTAGAGGCCAACTATTCAGAGTGACTTGAGACCTCCTCCAGCCCTGCTGAACCCAACAGAGGGAGGAGATATTTTTTAATTCCTCTCACTGCAACTTTCAGCAATTTACCTAACGTCTCCAAGCCTCAATTTCTTCATCCTAAAATAGTTTCGTGCCCACTGCACGACAACTGAATTGAGATGACTGCTGAAAAGGGCTTAGCACAATGTTGACCGCCTGGTAGAAGACCAATAAATGAACCAACAAATGACAGTTTCCTTTTGCCCTTTGGGGATAAAAAGGACACGGTTAGGTTCCTGCCCAATAGTCATTATTTTTCTTCACCACCAAACCCCTGATTTCATTCAGGGCTTCAATATTCCCAGATAAAGGATCATCTGCCCAGATTCCTTTGTGGGTAGAGGTGGCCTTGTTTCAGTTCTAGCAAATGAGATGCGAGAAGACTATTGCAGGATGGTGTCCAGGACATTTCTTACTTCTCTAAAAACAGGAGGAACAAACTCAGCTAGCATTTTCTTTGAGCCAAGTCCCATGTCCTTCTCTCTTCTTCCTCCTGATGGTGCAGTAGCCTTCCTCCCACCATCGGGACAAAAACCGCAGGCCCATCACAGGAACAGAGAAGGAGCCTGGACCCTAAGCAAGATCCCAACTCTTGAATCCCTGCCTCTTGATTTTTCACATTAGAAAAATAAACTCCTTCCAGGTTTTCCATTATTTGAAGCTGAACACATTCCTAACTGATATTTACCAGTCCGAGTTGATGTATTGAAATAAGCAAAGTATGGAGCTGCTGAGGTGTTTGTCCAAGGTCGTATCATGAATTGACTGGTGGCAAAGGCAGGCCTGTTGAGTATCCAAGACTTAAATTCCCACCCTAAATACCCTCCTAATAGATTACATTCCCAGGAAAATTGTATTTATGTCAACAATCAAAATGATCGGTATTATAAAATATTTACGTGGAAGCCAGTTGTGGCCATGTATAAGAAGCTCTTATCTAAAATATCTGAAAATTTAAGTAGCCCAACTTATTTTTGCAAACCATGGATTTCATTTAATCTGTGCAAGTGGCTTTTTTGGTCTTGGGGAAAATCACACACGAAGCTCGGAAGAGAAGCTGACCATCTAGAGAAACTAGCTTCCCCTCTCTGCAAACAAAAGGAAGCACCTTTGAACATCATGCTGTGAGCTCAACCAAACACAGCAGCCTGCCCTGACATCTATCCTAGGGAAGATACTGAATTCACAAAAGCAATGCCTTTGAACTGCTAATAAATTTTCATTACCGGATCACTTAGGAAATTGGGATTGAAAAGCACTATTGTATAAATGTAATCTTTGCTTGGCAAAATTGAGCTGAAAGATATCATCTACGTTGGATTGTTATCATTTAATGAAAGCTATTTGCTGGACTCAAAAAAAATGCAATGAATAAATGCAATTAATAAAACCATATTCAAATGCTCTTCCTGAGAATTTGTATCTGCAGCCCAGCTGTAGGATGTGAGTTTGGTCAGAATCTCTGGAACTTTAGGATCGCTGGGAGAGGAAGACCTACTTCTTTCCTTGGGAAGAGAACTGTCCTTGGAATTGTCCAAGTCGGTGCAGGTAGTGGTGCTTAGAACTAATCCCACCACCAAGCAGTAGCAGGATGGCCACTGAGTCGGAGGGCTTCATAGGGACTCCCCCAGTGGCCTTGGCTGTGTTCACGGCCCCATTAACCTGGCCGGAACCAATTTGTCCAATGTAAAAACATGCGACCCAAGTTGTGCCAGGTCCTCTGTCATGGAAAGTCAGCATGTAAATAAGAAGACGGAGTGATGGTAAGCCGTTAGAACTGAGTCATGAGGCTGGCAGCACACTGGAAAGTGAGCCCACAAACTCCTGCCACTGAGGTCCCAGGGGCTCATCTAGTTCTTGCCCTTCCTAAGATTCTATGAGCTATCCCAATACTTTCCAAAGAAATACTTCTTTTGAAACTTGAGCTAGACCAAGTCAGTGTCTGTTGTTTCAAAAGGAAAGTCTCTTAGGGAATACACTTGACACTATGGTGCACCCATTTGTAGGGTCACAGAGTCAGAAAGACTAATTCCTTCCCACCTCCAGGCAGAAATAAGCCATCCTAATCTTGGGTAAATAGCGAGTAACAAGGAATCTCTTCCTTAGTGTCTCTAGGCCTCTAAGGAAAGTAGTTTCAACCTTCAGCCCTCACACTCTACACCAGAACCCTGCTCTTTCTTCTACCTGTTGCAGTGCCAGCAGTGTGGCAAGAGGTTAAGGGCATGGGCTTTATACCTGGACCCCCTGGGTTGGAATCCTGACACTGCTACTTCTAGCTGTGTGACTTAGGGTCTTGTTCAACCTCTCCATGCCTCAGTTTCTCCAACACGATAGTGGGGAGGTAACCATAGTGCCTACCTCATGGGGTTGTAGTGAGGATTGAGTGAACCCAGAGGAAGTGCTCAGAATAGCACCCCATTCCTAACTTCTCCAACCTCCCCGTCCTGTACTCCAGGCACCCCAGCCCACTTTTCAAGAACGCTGGCTATTTCCTGCCTAGAAGTCCTAGGAGGTTCTTTGCACATTCTGTTCTTTCTGCCTGAGAACCGCATCCTGCCCTAACCTATTCCCATACCAACCCAGTGATATATTGCTACAATGACCCCAGTTCTCCACCCCTCCCCATATCTACACTCACTCTTTGCCCTGTGATTTTACAGCCCCTCCCACAGGAGTCTTTATTCCCCACCCCTTAATTTTGAGCTAGTCATGGACCTGCTTTGGCGAATAGATTTCAGTAGAAGTGACATTGCACCAGTTCTGAGCCTGGGCCTCAGGCAACCTTGCATGTTTCCACTCTCTCAGACCCCTGCCCAGCCACAAGCCCGGGCTAGATGCACACGGACCAGTTTCCACCTTTACCCCAGTCCACAACCAACCAATGCCCTGAAGCAGAGCGGCCTAGCTGACCAGCATCTCACCACAGACTCATGATGCTCTCACTGGACCAGCTGAGCCCAGAAGAACCGCCCAGCAGAACCCAGCCCAAATTGCCAACTCATTGTATTAAAAATTAGTAAATAATTGTTGTCTCAAGCCACAAAAGTCAGGGTTAGTTTGCTGCATTGTAAAAGCTAATGATATACACCCTCTCTACGCCTCAGTTTCCTCAAAGATATACAGAAATAAGGAAAATAGGAAAAATAAAACCTACCTCCTAAAATAAACGTGACGATTACATGAGATAAAGCTTGTAAAGCGCCTATGTTACATTGTGTTACATAACTGTTAACTACCGCAGGCATGGTAATCATGATACTGGATTTTTTCATTTTGCCTCTCATCTGTAAATGTAGGAATAATGATATGTAATGAATGGGGTTGCTGTGAGGAATTGAGAAAATATGAGCAACGTGCTTAGCACCATCTCAGACACAGATCATCAATAATGGTTACTATGAACGTGATGTTAAGTATTATTCCAGAAGATTGGTTCCTTCATTCTCCTCCCTGGCTCTTGAACACAATCCACCATCGCCATCCCCTACCCTCCACTTAAACTTCAGTTTTCTCACCTTGATGATCAGACCTGAGCTCCCAGCCTTTAGCCTCACACTGAGGCACCCCTAGCCTATCCAGCCCCATCGTGGGAGGAGGCATCAGAACCCAGGCAGGAAGGTCACTTTTAGTCCCTGGGACTCCTTGAACATCAGCCCTCACCCCGCCCCGCCGCCCCCGTGTGGACCTTAGCCACTAGGGGGCAGCCTCACCCTCCAGCCACGCAGAAAGCTAGGGCCGTCCTGTGGGTCCTTTTTCGGTTTTCTGATCCTCTGCCCAACTTGTCTGAGGGCCCAGGATTTGGCAAGCCCCTGCTGGTCCCATTGTGTGCAGGCCTCACCCGCGCTGTGACCACTCACCTGTCCACATCCGACCTTCCCTCCCGACTGGGGAGCGACCCTTCCCCCCACCTGCTTGAGGAGACGCTGGTGGACACACTTCCCCAGCACCGGGCAACCTCTCAACCTACGTGAGTGGTTTCATAATTCATGCCTGCCCATCAGCGGACAGATTTAGCCTGCTGCCTGCTGAGTCTGGGAATACTGAATATTAAAATATCCCAGACGCTCGCCCTTCTGACGCCCTCGCCTCTCTCAGATTCACTTGCAGTTAGTTGCACAAACAATTCCTGGGACACACATCACTTTGTCAATTAAGTAGATTTCGAATTTGCATATGCGTAACTTTCATTGAAACAGAGGAAGTAGTATTCGGGCCAGGATTAGATGTGTGACCTTGGGGAAGTCCTCTGGTTTCGGAGCCAGTGTATTTTCTTCTCCACGACATCATTCTGTAAACTCTCCCGGCCTTTTTGCAGCACCATTTGCAATAAAGGGAAGCAGGAGTCCTATTTGAAGGGTTTTCCTGAGCAAAGTAAAGCAAAAGAGCTGAAGAAATATTCTCCACCCTGCTAGGATAACAAAAGAGTCTCCCAGCTATTAAAACGGACCATTATTTGAGGGTGGAGGAGGCAGAGAGAATCTTTCATATTTGGTAAAGAAAGGGGAGTGTGTGTGTGTGTGTGAGTGTGTTTCACACCACTTTACCAAAACTCTAGCTGACTTCTCTTACGCACATCAAAGACTACCAAGCCTTTCCTGCCTTTGATGTTGAGTTTTTAAAACTCCTAAAAGAATTTCCAGGCTAATACACACACCTTTGCTAATATCCAGTAACGACCAAGGTGGGTGAGAATGCCCCACAGATTCAAAATAGAAGGAGTTTCTCCTTCTCTCCTGGCAGATTCCATTCTTTCATCCAATAGGAATTTGGTGAGCCCCCAGCGCAGGCTCTGGCACGGAGCAGATTTCAGAAGGAGCTGATGCTGCCTCTCAGTGTGTGATCTAATTAAGGAGGCAGGACCTCCGTGGGGGAAATGAAGGATAATGACCTGGCCACACAGAAAGCGTGCGTGGTAACTTACTATAGGAACTCTAGTGGGCAACGGAGAGCGAGTCTCAGCAGAGGGAACCTGGAATTTCTCTACAACACGCTCAGGAAAAAGGCAGTTAAGGCAGAGTGTGTAGTATGAAGAAGAGCTGGACCAGGCGGACCCAGATTCAAGCCATGGCTCTGCCATTCACTATGGGACCTTGGACGGTGCACTGATTTCCTCTTGAGCCTCAGTTTCCTCATCCACAAAATGGGCATAACAACACCCACTTCAGAAGCTTGTCCTGAAGACACATCGGCCTCTGTTTAGGGCGTGTTCCCTCAATGCTTCACTAGGAAATTTACCTGGGACTTAAAACCAGACACTCTTGGCCTGAAAGTGATTTCACCACAGCTGGGGGATAAATTGCTAACTGGATTAGTAAACAGTGAATCCAAGCAGGAGGACTAATTCCAGACAGATAGACTCTACCCACCCCTCTCCCCTCACCAGGGAGGTCATCCTGTTCTCTTTTCAGAGGTGCCCAGCCAGGAGTCCAGGAACACCCGCTGTAGTCATTTCCCATTGCTGCTGTAACATATTACCACAAACTTAGGTGCTTAAAACAACACAAATGTATTATTTTACAGTTCTAGAGGTCAGATGTCCAAAATGAGCCCATTGGGCTAAAAATCAAGGTGTTGGCAAGGCTGCGTTTCTTCTAGAAGCTCTAGGGCAGAATCCATTTCCTCGTCCTTTTCAGCTTCTAGAGGCCACCCGAACTCCTTGGTTCATGATCCTTCTTCCATCTTCAAAACCAGCAACAGTGGCTGAGTCTTTCTTGTGCTGGTATCTCTGGTTCTTTCTTATCTGCCTCTCTCTTCTACTTGTAAGGACTTGTGATGACACCAGGCCCACTGGGATGATCCAGGATAAGAACTACATTTCAAGGTCAACTGATTAGCAACCTTAATTCCAGGTGAACCTGGGTGAGCAGAGAGGAGTTGGTTCACTTCCCATCTGTGGTGGGGACCAAGCAGCCCTGTGAGGACTGGAAAGGTACCATCCTGGGGGTCAGGAGATGTGAGGTGTGTCCTGACCTGGCTGTTCGCTGCTGGAAACTTTGGGCTATTTGCCCTTTTCTAGGCATCAGCTTCCTCTTCTGTAAAATGGAAATAGTCACCCCTGTGTCCCTGTTAGGAGGTTTAGATGTGATTCCCCGCTGAGGGCCTCCTATGGACCAGGCTGTGTGGAGGACCCTGAGGTGGGGAGGACACAGTACCTGACCCCAGGGAGCTCACACTTCAAGTTGTCATCACCTGACCAATAGTCATTGCTCTCCTCTCAAAACTTCTCAAATTTGCCTACAGATCACAGGAACTCTGAGATAGACATCCCTAGCCACTAGATAAAAATATGCATTTTTACATATATTTTATTTGAATTTTTCTCTAATTTGCATTTATAACATTTCAGTATTAATAATTTTTGTTGATTCAAAATCTTATCACCTTAACCCTTTGACTTTGATGTTTCCACGCTTCCTTTCAGCCTTTCCTCACATTTACAGGTGATTTCACATGCTTTAGGGCAGGTAACATTTTATATTCCTCTCTCTCCATGTAACAACGCTCAAACAATTTTCCGTGTAGCCACACCGCCTACCTTCCAGAGTTGTGCTTATTAAGGGCTGCACAATTTTCCATACAGGTGAAGATACGTAATAACTTCCAGGTTTATTTGAAGGTTTCTGTTTCTTTGTTTGTGGCTTGGTTCTTTCGTGGAGCTGTTTGTGTTTGTTTCTTTGTTTTTGCTATTACAAATAAAGCTACAAGGAGTACCTTCACACGTTTATGTTCTTTTCTTTTGAATTCTTTCCATGGGATAATCTCCCAGGAGCAGAGGTCCACTTGACCCTCACAACAGCTCTATGAGGTAAGCAGAACAGAAGTTGATCCCGTCCTACAGATGAGGAAACTAGATCCCAGAGAAATGTAGGTAACTTCCCCACAGACACACAACGGGCTGGTGACCAGAGGAGCCCAGAGCTTTGAAATCCCCACATCTCCTGATTGCTGGAATGGCCACCTTTCAGGGCATCGCTGCCTATTAGAGATGGAGGAAGTCTCTAGATATCCTCCCAGGTACCCGCTGTGCATCCCCTCCTCCCAGCCCTGCCCCTCACCTACAGACCTGCTGACGGACACCCTCAGCACCGCTTCCCCTCCAGCCCTGCCCAGCCCTATCAGCTTATGAGACACAGCTTCATATGCCAGGAACACATGAGTTGAAGGCTGAGGTATGAACCTTGAAGAAAAGGTGCTCCCTTGAAATCCCACCACAGCCAGGACCAGCCTGCCTACTGGACCCCTGTTCCTATAGGAGGTAGGAAAGCTCAGTGGTTCTGATGAAGGCTTTGGAGTTGAGACTCTGGGATACAAATCCTGGCTCCACCACCCACCAGCCACGTGGCCTTGGATACGAGGTGTCTCTCCCTTCTTCTGTAAGACGTAGTTGGTGGTAACATACTACCTCCCTCACATTGTGAGGATTTAATGAGTAATTCTCTTGTGGTGTTTATCACAATGCCTGGTTCACCCTGAGTGATGTATAAATAGCACTCGCTCTTATCAACCCCGCTGTATTAGTGTCCTAGGGCTACTATAACAAACTACCACAAACATGTTAGCTAAAAACAGCAGAAATGTATTCTCCCGCTGTTCCAGGGACCAGATGTCTGAAATCCAGGTGTCAGCAGAGTCGCACCTTCCAAAGACTGTGAGGAAACATACTCGTACCTCTTTTGGCTTCCGGTGCCTACTGGCCTTCCTTGGCTTGTGGCAGCATAACTTCAGTCTCCGCCTGTATCTTCACATGGTCTTCCTCCCTGCCTCTGTATGTCTTCTCTTCTTACGAGGACACTCGCATTGAATTGAGGGCCCACCCTAATCCAGTAGGATCTCATCTCAATCCTGACTCAATTATATCTGCAAGATGCTAGCTCCAAATAAGTTCATATTCTGAGGTTCCAGGTAGATACGAATTCTGGAGGGACGCTGTCCGACCCACTGACCCCGCCTTGCCTATACCTTGGGCTAATGTGAGGGTTTCCTCTCCCTTTGGAGGAATGGGATGTGGTTGAAGGCAGCACTGTGCATTTACTTCCCTTTTGGTCCCTTAATCAGGCTTCTCCCACAAGGCCCTTCTTCTGGCTTCACTAACAAGAGGCTGCAGGGGGATTGGTCCCCAATACCTAATATGTTCACGGCGAATCATGCTTTACAATGCCCAGCATCCCACTCACTCTCCACAACAGCCCTGTGAGGTCGATAGTATCACCCCTGACTTTGCAGAGGAGGAAGCAGTCTCTGGGGGTGAAGGGATGGCTCAGGCCTCACCAGCCACCAAGAGTCAGGACCTCAAATCCGCGCCTTCTGATTCCAACCAGTGCTCCGTCCACTGCAGCAAAACTATGTCCCCTGCAGGCTGAAGACAGTGTCCTCTTAGGAAGAGTGACCAGATGTCCGGTTTATGCCTCTTGTCCCAGCATAAGTATCATGACTTTCCCCATTCATTCTCAGATGTGTCCCATTTGGACAGTAAATTATGTGGTCATCTTCTTCTCAGTGGTCTTGCCCTCAGAGCTCCTGCCTCTGCCCTGAGACCAGCCCTGCATCCAGTAGCCTGTGAGGCATAATGCTATTGTCCTTCCTCTGTTTCTCTTTTCTTCCACATGAGCTTTATGACAAAGACGTATGAAGCTTTGCCAAGGTGAAGGGCGGTACATTACATTCTTCAAGGAAGCCACAACTGTCTCTAAAGTCTTTCCGTGCCTACCTGTCCTTGGTACATGTGGGGCTGGGTGAAAAGCCAAATTAGAATTGAGACTGAGCTTTGCCACCATTAGACACCACTGTGCAGAGACTTCCCCCTCCAAACCTTCTCAGCCTGGCCCCAGAGAGCTCCAAAAGGCTGGAGGAGCCAAAATCCCATAGCAGCTGGCACAAACGCTTCCAGTGGCAACTCTGCAACAGGGTCAGGGACAGAAATACACGAAGATTAAAAGAGAAGAAAGAATATTTTGGAAGAAAAATTGACATTGCAAATCAAAAGCCTTAAGCGGTGAGTGTGTGTGTGTGTGCGTGCAGAGTGAAGGGGATTTATGTACAAGGAAGCTTGGCTAGACCTAGGAAAAAATTTTGGAAGGATACCTGGCAGAATGTTATCAATGATCCCCCTGGGCATTAGGATTGCTTGGAGAGGCAGAAAGAGTAAGGAGACTATTACCATATAATTTGTGCATGTCTACATTTTTTCTTATTTAAAAGCAATTTTCTTATTTAAAAGTTTTTATTGGAGAACATTTTTTACTCATCAATTTCAAGCCAGGAATTGAAACCAAGAAGTAATTAACCACATGCACAAAGACTGAGCTAACAAGGATGCTCGGGGAAGCTTTGCTTTGTAATAAAAACTCAGTAGTGGAGGGCCGGTCCCATGGCCGAGTGGTTAAGTTTCTACACTCCGCTTCAGCGGCCCGGGGTTTCGCTGGTTTGGATCCTGGACACAGACATGGCCCTGCTTGTCAGGCCATGTTGAGGTGGCGTCCCACACAGCACAACCAGAGGCACTCACAACTAGCATATACAACCATGTACCAGGGGGCTTTGGGGAGAAGAAGGAAAAAAAAAGAAGAAGAAGATTGGCAACAGATGTTAGTGCAGGTGCTAATCTTTAAAAAAAAAAAATCTCAGTAGTAACCTATTGTCCAGTAATAGGGGATAGTCATACAAGAGAATGCTACTCAGCTGTTAAAGAATTTTGTAAAGAAATCTATTGACAAAAAAATTTGCCCTACATTGTATAGAAATTATATAGAAATCATAATTATTATATATAAATAATTTATAAATATATAAATGTATTATATGTAATTATTCTATATAAATAAATTATATAGAAATAAAGCAACCTCGATGAGTTCATATAGCACCATTTTTTATCTCCATCTGTATGTTGAAATGTAGCAATATTATTCTCAACAATCATGTTACTGTTGTTTATTTTACTCTAGCTTCTTTAAATGTTCACATTTCTGTAAAGAACAGAAATGAGAAGAAAAGTCATTTTGACAAAGTGCCAGGAGGAGTGGCCAGGGTGTGCTCTGGAGTCCCAAGAGGTGGGTCCACCGCCCCATGAGTCCCCCTAAAGCTAGTTCAGCTCGCATTTTCCTTCAGGACCGATTCCTGCACAAGAGGTTTCAGGAAGGAACTAGAATGGAAACAAATGGAAGCTGAGGGCTCCCGAGCCCCTGCCTGCCGTGCCTGCTCTCCACGGAGGGACAGGAGCGAGGGACAGAAATGTGAGGCCACATCTGTGATGATGTGGACAAGGCAGGTTTTCGCGTGGTTCTATACAATCTCCCGTGTTTTTCACTTACATCTCTGAATCACCTGTCAGAAGCGATTGTCAGGATTCTAAGAGGCAGCATAACCAAGCACCCAGCCTGGTGCCAGGCACACAGGAGGGGACAACAGGTGAAAATATCACCTCAAAAGCTGGGGATGGGAGAGATGGGGGAGGAAAATCTTTCTGAGCATCTCCCATGATGCTGCCTCCCTGAGTCCTCACAGCAGGAACCTGGCATATGCGTTGTGGTCACTCCCATTTTACAGATGAGGAAACTAAGACTCAAAGAGAGTGCAGGGTTGGCCCAGCGTCATTCAGGCAGTAAGTGGCCGAGTCGGCATGCAAACCCTGATCTGTCTGTCTCCAAGGCCTCTTCTTTCCCCTCATAGGAGACCTGTGGAGAGAAGGCCACCAATGGCCAGCAAAAAGACAGACCCACAAGGCAGACAGTTAGTGGCAGGACGTAGATTCAAGCAAAATCTCTTAAGCCCCAGTGCATTTGCCACATGGAGAAACTTGAGATCATACCCCCTCGGGAGAGTCCATTTGGAACGACACTTTTAGAGGTGTGCTAAATCATGGTGCTGTAGACGTTTCTTCTCTGCAAGATATGTCCCTCTACGTCCTCCCATTTGATCCTTACGAAAATGCTGCAAAGAGCATGGAGCAGGAATTTTATTCCCATTTGACAGAGAAGGAAATCAAGTCACTGTGTGACCTGGGGCTAGTACTTACCCTCTCTGAATCTCAGCATCCCTACAGGTAAAATGAGGAGGTTGAACAGTGGTCACCCCAAGTTCTTTTCCATGTGTGTGAGTCATTGAATTTGCCACCAAATATTGAGTGATATTGAAATGAACACAAGGGGGAAAGGCTAGAGACGGGGAGATAACTCACATTATGCGCATATGATGTGTAAGGCACTTTGATAATAGTAATAACTCACATCGATCAGGTCCCCACGTGTCAGGAACTATACTAAGTTCTTTAGATACGGTATATTGTTAAATCCTATGTCACAACTCTATGACATAGGTACTATATTTTTTCCATTTTATAGATGAGAAAACTAAGGTTTAGAGAGAGTAGATAATTTACCAAATTCTATAGAGGTAGTGCAAGAACTTGATATGAGTCTCTGATGCCAAAATCGATGCTTTTAACCACCTTCCCTAATGATTGACATATATGCCTCATGACACTTAGTCTTCATGTCACCACAGGTACCGTCTTCCACATTGGGCTTGGCTCTGGGTAACGCAGACGCTACACAGATGTAAAGTTGAGGTCACCTTTTTCCCCTCATTGCAACAATACCACTTCCCATGTCAGGACATCTTCTTTAAGATCTTCTTCCAAATGGATGCAACCTTTTATTGTTCATTTAATCATTTCCAGTTTTTTTTAAGTAACAGCAGAGTGAACAGTGTCATGCGTTATCTTTTCACCCTTCATTTTGAATTCTTTTTAAGGATGTATTCCAAGAAGTGGCGGCACGGAGGAAAGGATATAAGGGTTTCTTTTGGTACTTGAAACATGTTCCTGAAATGCTTTCCAAAAGTGTTGTACCGCTGGCACCACCACTAGCCATTCAGGAGTGTGCCAACCTCATCAGTTTTCATTTTTACTAATTTAACATAAAACTTTGACATTAGTTAATTTCTTTGATAATAGGAAAAGCTAAACACGTTCCCATATTTATTTTCTAAGTATATATTCTTATGT